TATATAATATATAAATTATAATATTAATATTATAATATTATATTATTCTATATAATATTATTTTTGGAAATCATAGAATAATGTTATATAATTTTCTAATTCTCTTTAGGCGGTTCCACAAATGTGAAATTTGAAATAGAAACAAAAACTGAAATATATGCATATCTTTGTAAAAGAATTATGCCACTTTAGCATGATATATGCTTGATTATCAGAAAGCATTTATATTACGAGCGTTTTTATAAAACTTTCCGAATGAAAAATTTTATACGGTTCAGTATTAAGGCCAATTATAAAATTTCTCTGTAATTTATTCCTCGATAAAAGATACTTTCTTGCGGAGATCGATGCCTCTTTCGCGATTCCTGGCGGCTGGCATCGAGGGCATGTATCAATTTACTCTGGAAATTGTCTAGGTTGCGTATTCGGTACGTGATGCCGGCGGCGCACCTGACGCTGCGCGAGGAGGACGTGGTGCGATTGACCTTGGAGTTTCTCCACAGCCGTGACCTTCACATCTCGCAGCTCTCACTCGAGCGCGAGACCGGCGTGATAAACGGCCAATACAGCGACGACGTACTCTTTCTTCGCCAGCTAATCCTCGATGGACAATGGGACGACGTGCTCGAGTTCATCCAGCCATTGGAGGCGCTCTCGGACTTCGACATGAGGAAGTTTACGTATTCGATCCTGCGTCACAAATACGTCGAGCTACTATGCATCAAATCCGAAGCGAACGTCATCGCCGCCGGTACCAATGGCAGTGTCGACAACGCTGTGGAAGAGGTCGTCAAGGTGTTGAATGATCTTGAAAAAGTCGCGCCTTCCAAAGACGAGTACAGCAGTCTATGTCTATTGCTTACTTTGCCGCGACTGACGGATCATCTGCAGTACAAAGATTGGAACCCCAGCAACGCTAGGGTGCAATGTTTCCGCGAGGTTCATCCTCTGGTAGAGAAATTTCTACCGGGCGACAGGAAGAGTATCGACTCCGCGCATCCGGTCACCTCGGCGAAAAACGATCGACTCATTCAGCTTATTATCAAGGGCATCTTGTATGAGTCCTGCGTTAATTACTGCCAAGCAAAAGCTACCGGGTCGAAAGAGAGCGAACAGGTAATTTTTATTTTTTTATTTTTTATCTTTATAGTTTATTGTATTTTATTGGAATTATACTATCATTAAAAGAATTCAGTAGAAATTTGACAGAATCAATTCTGAAATTACATCGATGTTACAATTATTTCCCCGTATATAGATGTAGATTATATGAAATAATTACAATCTGATAATTTCAGATACTCTCTTTTTCGAAAGATTTTATACATTTTAATATATATTATACATTTAATTTTATTTTATTTCTGTACATTCTTATCTTACAGGTAGAGATGAGTTTCTCGAGACTGCTGGACGGGTCTGTAGGCTTTAGCGATTCGGACTTAAGTTTACTCTCATGGCTTCAAAGTATACCCCCCGAGACATTCGCTGTACCCTTCGCGCAAAGAACTCTGAACGTCGACGTGGAGCGCCTGGAGAGACCCTCTCTAGAGACCTCGTGGACGGAGCACATGCTGATAACGCCGATAAAACCGAAAACCTTTCCGCACAGCGCTATGCCGTTCACCAGACCGAGATCCGCCGCGGATATGATGTCTCGTAGTTTAGTGCCGGCTCTAGAGGCCGGTCTCGGGCCCAGAAGTCCTGGATCCAAGAATACGACCATACCATCCGCGGCGCTTATGGCGCTGTCCATCGGCGACGTGAACCCGATGTCCAGGTCGTCCTTTGCTAGCTTCCACCTGACCGGCTTCAAGAACAACAAACTGATGAATACTAGCGTCGATAGGCTCTTTGAGAACGAGGGTGACGTCTTCCTTAGCTCGAATTACGCCGAGTTCCAACAGTTACCTTCGATACAAGAGACTCTGACGAATATTCAACCTAAAGCTCCACCGAGGACGAGAGGACACTCCAAAAGCCCCGATGGTAAGATTATAAAGTATACAATATTGTAGCATTTTAAAGATTTTAGATTATAGTTGCGTGTATATATACTAGAATATGATTTATAGAAAATCTTGAGAAAATTACTGATTTTTAATTCTAATTCTAATTATATTTAATTGATTGCAAAAATCTTAAATTTGTAAAGTTCTGATTTATTATTTTAATTAATTTACTTAGTTTTAATTAATTTTATTAATTTCGCAATTAATTAATTGTTTTGTTAAATGAACTTCTATATATCATACGTTAAAGGCTTTTAAATCATTTCGTAATAACAGGTGTGGAAATGGACCCTTCAGCAACATCCACGCCAGAACGTAGAGTGGCTGGAAGGGAATCGCCTGCTCTCTCGACCGCCAGGAGTTCCAGAAGAGATTCTTTGGCGGAGAAGCCTACCGGAGTCACGACCAAAATTACGGAACCGACCGCCATCCCAGTTAGAGCGGTAGTAGCTCCTGGCGACCATCTCGAACAAAGTTATAACGGTGGCCTGTTCAAGGAGTACCAGAAGCAGAAACAGCGATTGCAGGAAACCATTCAGCAAAAGGAAAGGGAGAGAGACGAATTAGTTAGGCAACTATCGGCACCGTTACCCATGCAAGTAGCTGATAATAGACTACAAGGAGAAGGGTGAGTAATTTTATTAATTTTACATTTCTAATATTTTATTAGCAAATTGCAACAAAGTTATTACAGACATGAAATGAAGAGAAATCAATTATTTTAGGTAGAATTTCAATATTATTTTAATATTAATTTTTATAAAAAAAAAAAATAACTTTAAGAAAGGAAAAAAATAAACAAGAGAAAGTTTGCTATTTATAATTATTAAAAACTGCCAGAAAGAAATTTGTTTCTAATTAATAAAGTATTAAAAAATACGCAGTTTAAAAAATTATGCAGTATGTTTGAAGTGTCAGAAATTTTTTTGCGTTAGAAAATTGCGGATTACATTTACATTATTTAATTATGCTCGTCGTATTAATACAACGGTATGTACAGTTAGTATCATCTATATCTATGAAATAACTCTGTTGCACCGAATGCATTCAATCAAAAGATGGAGTACATTGCATTCTCCAATAGATGGCGATAGCGAATGCCTTTGTTGTGTTTATTATGATAAAACATGTGCTACAACAATAGTAGTTCAGATTTAGACAGATTTAGATCATAACATACTGTCGATCAAAATAGCGCTACCCTAATGCAAGAATTGATCGGAAACTGATTATTTTAACTGTTTAGTATCGACCTCTCATGCTGTTTCTCGAAGTAAGAACTTACGTTTTAGTCTCACTTTTTCTTAAATAGAATCTTGATTAAGTCTTGTCAC